CCAGCTGCTGGAGAAGCTGAAGCAAGTGAAGGGCTCAACAAACTGGAGGGACCAGGTGGTGTCCACAAAGTGGCAGGACACTCTCAAGTGCCTGGAAGCCACCAGATCACAGGAGGAGTGCCTGCAGGCCCAGCTGAGCTTCCTGGCTTTCCCTGTGCAAGGTGAAGGCATGAGCCCTGCAGAAACAAAAGATAAGGAGGCGATTCTCTGCAACCGCCTCCATTGCGATGTGACCATCACAGAGGATGGAGATGTTCCCCAGACCAAGAGTGACATGGCTCTGAGAGTACTCTTGGAGAATGAGATCCACAGGGGGAAACTCCTGCCACAAGAATGGCGGGCCAGTTGCAGTTGCCCCCTGGCCGACCCAGCAGCTCAGTGCCAGACTGAGCTGGAGCCACAGGACCTCAGCCCCATGAACTGCCACCACAGAATGCGTGGAGATGGGAAGTGGGACACATGGGCATCTGAAAAAAAAATCTGCTTCATCCATGACCTGCCTGATGAGGTGGACTTCCAGAGTCCAGCAGGTGAGCTTCCCCATTGATGCTGCCAGCTGTCAGCACACATCCGAACTATCGAGGAGTCCCTCATGGTGTGTAAAGAGCAGATGTTGGTCCTGAATGAGCTGTGTTGGGACAAAGCCCAGTGCATGCACTCGCTGTCCTAGGAGATGCTGGAGAAGAGGAGAGTGCTGTGGGAGCTGCTGTCACTCCTCACAAGGGAAGGCACAGACAGCAGTCTCCAGATGCCAGCACAAGCTGAGCCCTCCACCACCACCACTGCTTCAGACACCTCAGGGCCTGTGGTGGGTAAAATGAGGTAGGAGCAAAAAGGTTTTGAAGAATTGCAACTTGAAGACAGCATGGAAACTGCCAGAGGACTCCCCCAAGGACCATGTCCTACCCTAGATGCCCCCATCTAGATCAGCCCACAGCTCCCAGGCTCAGGGGAGGAGTGCTCCCTCACTTTCTCCTGTAGACTGATGCAGATGATGACTCTCTATGTGACATACTGACTCTCAAAAGCCTTGGCAGCCACCAGAAGTAGGTGACCAAGTGGCTTTCTCTCAGGCCTCCATCTGCCGGGCAACAGGAAGGATAAACTGAGGGTAGGGTAGGGCAGAGGCTGCAGGGAGTTGGCCCAAACTCAAGGGACATCTAAGGGTCCATTGGTGGCCAGGAAAGAGACCCATGTTATGCTTATCAAAAAGAATAAATTGTTTTCAAAGCAAAAGAAAGGCCTAAAAACAAAGATTTGTTCTTCCAGCCTTGGGGCTTGAACCCATGCCTAGCCACTGTCCCTGAGCTCTTTTTGATCAAGGCTGCTCCCACCTTCCCTTACACTTTTTCTGTGTGGAATAGAACCCAGGGCTTCAGGCATGCTAGGTGAACACTCTACCACTAAGCCACATTCTCAGCTAGGATGATTTTTCCCCCTCCCAAACCCATATGACCATTCCTCAGATAAATAGGAAGTAGGGGCTAGGATGAATATGAAGCACAAGTCTGGTTCACACCAAAATATTCCCCTTACCACTCTCCCCACACCCTTAGTTGAAGTTTCTCTTCTACCATTGAGGGATGAGAGAAGGAGAGGGGATGCCCAAGAGAGTACCAAAAACTGGCCCCCTGAGTCCCACATCCTCACCCACACAAGTAGTTCTCCAGATTCCGATCTTACCTGTCTCAATGTGAAGTCTACACTGTCTCCCCACCACTGCAAGGCTCAGGAAGAAATAAAGGTCCGCCATGGCCTCAGCCTACACCCAAGGTGGAAGCTTCTAGTCCCAGACCTACTTCCACCTCTGACTGCCCCTAGTTAGGCCAGACCCATCACTCACCACTATGTTGGTTACCTCATGGATGGATTCCAGGAAGAAGGTCTATGGCAAAGAGTAGAAGCAGCAGGGTGAGCAGGGCAGAAGGAGGTGGGGAGATTGCTCTGGGATCTTCCTTGGAGCCCTTCCATCCAGCCAAACCAATGCTGACACAAAGCATGGACAATGCCAGGGGGTGAGAGGAGATGGAGGAGCACAGGACTAAAGGAGGTACTTCTTTGTCTTAGAGGACTTGATTAATTCCAATTATAATTAATTCCAATTATATTTGGCCCATGCCAATCCCAAAGACAGCATGCAATGCCTCTCCTTGTTGTTGTTGGCTGTGAGCGCTGTCCTTGAGCTCTTTTTCTCAAGGCTGGCACACTACCACTTGAGCCACAATGCCACTTTTTTTTCTGATGGTTCATTGATAAGAGTCTCATACACTGTCCTGCCCAGACTGCCTTGGCACCATGATCCTCCAGATCTCAACTTCCTGAGTAGCTAGAATGACAGGCATGAGCGACCAGTGCCCAGTATGTGATGCCTTTTGAAGGCATCTTGGTGAGTCTGTAAAGGAGCCCCAAAGGGCCTGGATAGACCATGACCCAATCAAGGAGCTGGGATGGGGGAAGGTTGACCTTCTAGCCATTCTATTCCCCCAAAATTGAAGATGCCAAGTGATGTTGTATGTACCAAACACCTAGGCCAGCAGCCACCAGGCTTATTGTGGAAAAAGTAGAGAATACCCAAGGACTGCAGTGTAGAAATCTCTGATTTTGCATGCATGTGGTGTGTGTGTGTGTATGTGTGTGTGTGTGTGTGTGTGTGTGGACTCAGGGCCTAGGCTCTATCCCTGAGTTTTCATGCTCAAGGATAGTGCTTTCCCACTTGAGCCACAGCCCCACTTGCTTTTGGATGGTTAATTGTAGGAAAGAGTCTCAAGGACTTTCCTCTCCAGGGTGGCTTTGAATCATAATGGGTGCCCCAGGGAAGCAAGAGTAAACACAACTCCCAAGTACTATCCCTATGGTGGGCTACTCCTGCCCCCTGGTGGCTACACGCGGAACATGCGGCCCCATGCCATTATCCTCTAGAGTTCAATTTGGGGAAGTGACCAGAGCCAAGCTGACTTTTGCTCACCCTGATTTCTGATGCCAGAGCAGGTCTGTTCAACTCTAGGCCAAGAGAGCTCCAGGAGGCCCAGCTTTCCAGGGACACAAGGAAGGGAAAGGTCAGCTCCAGGTTGACTAAGAGCCTTTGCCCACGGATACCCCAACTTTTCCTTACTTATCACCATAAAACATGTGAAAGAAACCCCCCCCAAAAAAAAAACGAAATTGGATCTGTGCCTCCATGTGGTAGAGCTCTAGCATTTAACCAAAGTGCTCAGAGACAGGGCCCCCAAGCTTTCAATTCAAGACCCCTAGCTGGCCTTCCCCCATAAAACACAGGTTGTCTAAATGTGAACTAGTAGGATTTGTGCAGTGTTTCTGAAGAATGGTGATACTGAAGAAAGTACCTTAATTCTAATGACAGCTGAATTTGTGACATACAGCTATGTGCTGAGTCCTTCACAGGGCGCTATTTGCTGGGTCCTTCCCACATGGGGGTTTTGTGCTGAGTCCTCAAAAAGGTGTTGTTTGGTAAGTCATCCCAAAGGGTGCTATGTGCTGAGTCCCTGAGAAGAGTGGGCAGTCATGGGTTTTTCAAAGGGTGCTGTATGCTGAGTCCATTACACAACATACTGTATGCTGAATCCTTCGAAAAGTGTGGTGTGCTAATGCATCCCAAAGGGTCCTGCTATGTGCTGAGCCCTTGGGAAGAGAGGGATGAGGTGTTTTTTGAGTGCTGTATGCCGAGTCCTTTACACAGGGTGCTCTGTACTGTCTTTCAAATGGTGCTGTGTGCTGAGTGCTTCCACAGTGTGGTATGTGCTGAATCCTTCAAAATTGTTCTGTGTGCTGAGTTTTTTGAAGGATGCTGTGCACTGGGTGTTTTACACAGTGTGCTTCTACACAGGGTGTGATGAGTCCCTAGGAAAGAGTGTTATGTGCTGAGTTTTTCAAAGCGTGCCATGCACTGAATCCTTTAAACTGGGAGCTATGGACTCCCTCCTTCAAAGGGTGCTTTGTGCTGAGTACTCTACCCAGCATACTACATGCTGAGTCCTTCAAAGGGAGCTGTGTGCTGAGTCATTTACACAGGGTGCTTTGTGCTGATTTTGGAAGAGTGCTGTGTGTTGAGTCATTCCAAAGGGTGCTATGTTCTGAGTTCTTCAGAGATGGTTATCCCCAACATACACACACAAACACAAACACACATACACACACGAGTGTCACCATGCACCTGCTTGGTGTGTGGAGTGGAGGGGGATGGAGGAGAGTCTCCTTCAGCGGTGGGGCTGAGGGGAGATTCGATCACCTGGGCCAGTACTGGGGGTGGGGGGTAGTGCTGAGCTGAGGTAAGGGTGCAATTGCCATGGTCTAGAAGCCTCAGGGCCCAGTTAGGGCTGCAATTGTGGCCATGGGTGGGGGCTAGGGCCCAAGGGAGGATGGAGCGGGACCCAGGAGCGCACTATGGTGGCAGCAATGGCCAGGAGCCCAAGGGGGCAGGGGTGTGTGTGCAGAAGGGGTGGGGTGGCCCAGGAGAGGAATGTGGGGCCCAGAGAGAGCTGGGAGAAGAGCGAGCACAAGCACTAGCAGGAGCACTAGCACCCATGGAAACGGCTTCAGTGGCCGGCGGCTGCTCTGATCATAGTGTGGGTCCTGGCCGGGAGCACAGAGCATGCGGAGCCTGCATGGCAGGCTCATAGCCACACACAGCCCCTCTTAGGCACTCAGCCATGGTGGCCCTGAGTCTGAGGTCCCGGAGTGGGGAGCACGGCAGAGGCAGTGGCTGCTGAGATGGCGGCTGCCACAGGTTAGGAGGCCACTGAGGCTGCGGTGGTGGCTGAGGAGGAGCAGAGGCTGTGCGCAGCTCCACCATGCGCCCGCGCTGCATTTCAAACATGGCGCTACTGGCTTGGACCCGCGGAGCCTCTAGCTGTCAACTGGCGGAGCTGGTGCACCCCTGGCCTGCTTGGGGCCTGACTTGGTTCAGGCCTTCGGTCTTCAGACTCCAGGTGCCCACCCGGAGTAGCAGCCTACAGCTTCTCCCAGCAGTTTACGTGAGTTGCCGACCTGTGCTCCCGCACTCCATGCCCCCCCCCTGCCCCGTAAACCCCGTCCCCAACTCTACCCTTCCTCCGGACCCTCGCGGACCCGGACCCTTGCCTCTTGCCTCTTGCCTCCCCCTTCCCCTTCCTTCCTGCCTGCGCCTCCCCACCCCCCCCATCCCGACAGTCTGTCCTGGCTCTGCCACAAATGCACCTCAGGGGTCGGGGGTGGAGGTGGGTGTACACCCAGGGATCCCACCCTCATCCCTAGTGGCCAGTGTTCCAGGAAAAGGGGAGCTGCAGGGATGGGGAGGTGGGGGCACCACAGAGCCCCTGGCCTGGAGCAGTGGGAGCCACACAGCTGTGCATCTGCACCCTTCCTCTCCCTGGTGGCTTTAGTCAGAGGTGGGGAGCTGCACCTCCACACCTGCCTTCTCGGTTCTTTTCCCTTTTGCTGGGCAGGGGGGTGTTGGATGCAGAATATAGACCCCCTTGCTGTGTGAGCCCTTGTCTTCTGTGCTCAGTCACCCTTTCACCTGAGGACATTCCCAGAAGAGCCCACTAGAGAGGTGAGGGCACTGGAGTCAGATAGATGGTGGGTATTTGGGAGAAAAACACACCCCCTCCGACACACATACAACCGGCCTGTACCTTCAACCCCAGCATTCAACAGTTCTGACTGGGTGATCACATTTCCCAGTTCTGCCAGCTTCTGCTAGTGCTCCCAGTCCATCTGGTCCCCTTGTCCTCCCCAAGAATCTGCCAAGTCGCCCCGAAGTATGTAGGCTGGAAGTAGGGAGTCCATCCATGTATATAGCCTTTAGGACCTCATCAAAGTCCCCAACAACGCCCCCACCCCAGGTCAGACACCTCTTTGGAGGCACCATGACCCCCTGCTTTGTTTTCTGTCCAGGCTCTGAGGAGCCACATGTCTTGGGACTCCTTCACCCAGAGTCCTAGCCTAGGGTTTTGGTGAATGGGGAGTCAAGGCTGGTTGTTTCCAAAGGGAAGGGTCTGGCCCTGGAGAAAGGGGGAGGTAGGGTGGTTCTACATTATTAGAGCATTGTTCCCCTTGGGTGGTTGCCCCTGGTTCTGACAAGGGAACCCCTGTGCTTGAGCAGGTACATTGCCCAGATGAGAGACCAACAAATTCAGGAGAGGCACTGCTCTGGGTCTGTGTGTTTAGGTGTGTATGAGAGAGAAATAGAGAGATAGAGAGAGAGAGAGAGAGAGAGAGATCACCTTTCTCATTGTACAGTCAGCATGTCTAAAAAGATCAAAAGCATTTTTTGGGAGGGGGGTCCGGTTGTGGGGTCTGAACTCTGGGCCTTTGTGCTGTCCCTCAGCTCTTCAGCTCAAGGCTAGCACGCTACCACTTGAGCCACAGTGCCACTTCCGACTTTTTTCTTTTTGCTTACCTGGTGCTGAGGAATCGAGATAAGGGCCTCGTGCATGCAAGGCAAGCGCTCTACCACTGAGCCACCTTCCTAGCCCGAGCAAAAGCATTTTATTTGTGTTCATGTGTGTATTTGTTGTTCTTTTTTCATTAATGCCCAGTATGAGCCCAGCCACAATTTTTGTTTTCTCTTTCACAGTGTCATGGCTCCTTTAGAGAAGGTTTCATTAGATTTTCCTTCCCACCACTTTCTTCCCCTTTCCTGCAGCCCACAGTAACTGCTGGCCCTGCGTGGGTCTCCCCTAGGAGGCCTGTGTGAACCACAGACTAGCGTGGATACCTTCCCTTCTGTCTTTAGCCAGAAGGCTCATGAGGCTACTGTGACCACAGCCCCACTCTTCCAGCCAGACAGTCTGCTCTCATGTGTATAGTTGTAGCTAATTCAAAGTTGGGAATGTGTCTGCCAAACATAATTAGGGAATGAGATAGGGGGTGTAGGACAGAGGCTGTGAAGCTAGGAGGGTCTGGGAATTGATGAATGGTGTGACATGGCAGATGGTTCACCACGACCGAGGATGAGAGGGGAATCTTACCCAGGGCATTGACGGTGTCCATGGGCATTTGAGCAGGGGGCTCCGGGCCCCCAATGGTGGCATGGATTTCCTCCCAGGGCAGTGCACTGGTGGGCAGTCCTCCCTGGAGTCCTGCAGACTCCAATCTGTGTCCCTCCTGAGCTGGGCAATGGTAGGCAAGTGTGTTCCCCCTGCTGGAGCCTGCTTGGTATCAGGACATGGCAGTTAGCTAAGGCTCTCTGAATGCCATTTTCTGTAACCTGCTGTAGGCTGTCTGGAAGGAAAAGGGGACTACTGATTTTGGAACCCATTAAATTTGATTGGGACAAGTGAAATGCCAGCTTTTCCAGGGTTTTTTCTTGAAGCTCGAAATTTCCAGAAACATCTGGGATTCGGTGTCAAATTAGACAGACCATTTCAGCCACCAAACAATGACGTTCAAAGCAGCACAGGCAGAGTTCTCAAGCCAGATGGTTTCCTGCTACGAATGTCGTGCCTTGACTGCCTTTCTCTGGCAGCTGCTGAATCTCCTCTGGCTCTCTCTAGGGTGACCACCATAGTTGAGGATGTCTTGGGGAGCAGAGATTATGACCTTGCCATCCGCAGTCTGCCAGCTGTGAGCAGAGACAATTCCGAGCACCTGCACTGGAATCTGGGAGTTTCAGAGACCTGGGATGCCTCAAGGATCCTTTCTCTGCAACATGAAAATTGGGGGCCGGATATAGTGGCCCATCCTGTCTGCCCCAGGGAGTGGGGAGGAGGCCCCTTGACCCTGTCATTCACCTCACTACAACCTTGTTCAAACTTGAGTGGGGAATGGAGTGCCACAGAGCTGGTCAGTGGCTGGACAGAGATCTTTGAGAAGATAGGCATCCCAGAGGTCCTGGAATCCAGTGAGGACATCATGGCTCACGTCCTTGGAACCAAAACAGTTAAGTGCAGTGGCACCAGGAGGGTTTGAAGAGGGAGGAGGGAGAACCATTGGAGAGCTACATCAGGCTTTGCCTCCACCCAGGATGCTTACCTGAATTAGATGGGATTTTTCTGTAGTATTGTCATAGACAGATGCTCATTTATTTATTCAACAAACTGTTACATTGTGTGCCAAGCTCGGGGGGAGGGAGGCGGGTCATACACAATGAAAGGTTCCAGTGCTGGTTCCACAGCACATGAAGAAATCTTGGTTTGAGCTGGTAACCATTGCTTCTCTCCTGTCATCCTAGATACTTAGGAGGCTGAGATGGGAGGATTGAGGCTTAAGGCCCAGGCAGGAAAGCCTATCAGACTCTTATCTCCAACTAACTACCAAAAATAAAATGCCAGAAGTGGATGAGTGGCTCAAGCCATAGACTGTTGGCCTTGAGTAAAAAGGCTCAGGGACAGCACCCAGGCTCTGATTTTAAGGCCCAGGAGTGACGCAAAGAGAGGAAAGAGATAGAGAGGAGGGAAAGAGGGAGGGAGAAAAGGAGGAAAGGAAGAAGAAGTGATCATGCAGGCCTTGGTTTGGAGTTCCTGGATCAAGGGAGTCAACCATTCACAATCTCAGTGGGGACAGTTTCAGAGCCTAAAGCAAGTATGTAGGACCAAGCCACTGTCCCCTCAGTAACTTCATGACATCCAAGATCTGAGTGGTCGCTGACTGCAGAGGGAAACAGCCTCTGGTAGACCCTAGGGTTCAGTGTGGGTCACGGAGTTTCAATCTCCCCTGGCTCACCGAGTTTATTTTCTGGCCAGATAAGAAGAAAGTGTCCAAAGGCTAGGGAGGATAGGGTGAGGGAGTGTCCAAAAGGGGGTTTCAAGGGATAAGCAGAAAGATGAAGAGGGAGGATGATCCCAGATCAGGTGTGTCAGGCCATTGAAGCCATGACATCACCTAACAACCTAGACCATCAGTGATAGAGCCTTCAACCCAGCCACATGGCTATTAAAAGTCCTGGCACTCTGGGTTCACCGTTGACCACCTCGCTGTCGTCCACTGCAGGATGCCTGTGCAGTACATCCTTGGGGACTGGGACTTTTGCTGGCTCAATCTGAAGATGACACCCCCAGTGTTCATTCCTCGACTAGAGACAGAGGAAACCAGGCCACTGGCACAGGACAGCCAGGGAATGAGGGCAGGATTCAGACCAGTGTTGCTCTGAGACTTCCTCTAGGGGACTTTGGGCCCTGTGACTGCCTTTCTCAGAGGTAGAGGTGGGTCTCCTTGCTGGCTCAGCCTTTAGTCTAGATGGCAGATGTGGGCTTTAGAGAGGGTGGACTGATGGTCGAGGCTTTTGAGAAAACCATAGGCACTGGGCTCTGAGCAGGGTTGTTTCTTTGAGGATACTCAAATCAGGAATATTAGAGATGGATCAGCCCTTTTCTCCTTCCCAAGAGAGAGGGACCTAGAGCCCTCCAGTCTGCATCCCTTGGCTGAGAAATTCATTCATTCCCATATCCTTTGGTTGGATAACTTGATCTCACCTGTCTGCCTAGTGTCAAGGCAGGACAGTGAGAGATCTTGAGTCCTTGATGAGGTCACCGGATTCTCAGTATGAGATTGTACTTGAATGTCCGGAGTTGGTGCATGGTCAGTCCCATCTAAGACTGCCATGACCTAGGACGTAGAATCTAGAGACTCAGAGCAGGATGGGGTCTATTCTGTGAGTCTGGAGTATTATGTGTGAGGTTTGAGCTCCCCTGTGCTCACCTGCTTCCCTTTTTTGGGTGGATCTATGCTCGAAAAAGCTTAAAACTAGGGCCTTGGTCCCATCCCTTGTTTCATGTTCAAAGCTAGCACTCTACCATTTGAGCCATAGCTCCACTTGCAATGTTTTTGGGTGTTTAATTCGAGATAAGAGTTCTCAATGACTTTGCTGCCAAGAGTGGCATTCAATTGCAGTCGTTAGACCTCAGTCTCCTGAGGGGATAGGATGACAGGCATGGAAAAGCATCTTTGGCCGGGTATCAGTGGTTCATGGGTGTCATCCTAAGTACTCAGGAGCTGAATCTTAGAATCACGGGTGAAAGCCAGCTTGGGCAGGAAAGACCCTCAGACTCTTCTCTCCAATAAATCACCAGAAAACCGGAAGTGGTGCTGTGGCTCAAGTAGTAGAGTGCTGGACTTGAGCCGAAGAGCTCATGGATAGCACCCAGGCCCAGAGTTCAAGCCCCACAACCAACAAAAAGAAAGAAAGTAAAACATCTTTGCCTGCAAAGGACGGTGAAGGTGTGTTTGTGTGTATGTGTCTGTGTGTGTGGGGGTGGTGGTGGTGGTAGACATTTAGTATCCCGCTCAGTCATCATTTTAGATGGATTGTCCCAAACTCTTAATTCACGGCAGCCAATTTTTGACCACAGGTGAAGCTCTGGGTTGGATGTCGACCATCGGACCTCAGTCTCCTCATGGGACAGTTGTGAGGAAATAAGGGACTATTACAGAGGGATCTTTGGAGCAGTGCCAGGCACAGAGGGAGCAGGTGTCAGATACAGTTCTCAACAATTCTGTGATTATATGTCAGGCAGTTACCAGAAAGGGCTCAGATGGGGTCTGTTTTTAATAGTGCAACAGGTGTGGGAATATGAAACAAAACCTGTCTGTCTTTCATCATTACCCTATTCCCATGAGGAAGGGGATTCTTCACTGTATTCAGTCTTCCAGCTGGGGAAAATGAGTCATGGTGAAACCAGGTGAACTACTCATGACCCCCAGCTAACAGGAAGCTCAGCCTGATTTCTCTGCCATGCTTCCTAGGACAGTGGGTGTTATTCAGTCCACTTCTTGTGGTGGGAAGTACACTTCTTATCATTTGTGGGGTTTGAATTCTGGATCTGGATACTGTACCTGAGCTCCTCAGATCAAGGCTAGCACTCTACCACGTGAGCCACCGCATCACTTCCATTTTTCTGTTGGTTCTTTGAGGATAAGTGTCTCACAGATCTTCCTGCCAGGTCCAGCTATGAGCCATGATCTTCACATCTCAGCCTCCTGTGTAGTTAGGATTATAGGCCTGAGCCACTAAGCACCTGGCTTAAGTGTAATTCTGGTCCTCTCTCTCTCTCCATCTCTCTTCCCTTTCCCCCCTCCCTCTCCTTCTCTCTCTCTCTCCCTCTCACTTTGTCTCTCTAGGGAACTGGTAGAATGGGTGCTGGAGGAGGTAGTCCAGCATCCCCATGTGGCTGGAACCCACAGTGACCCTCTCATTCTGGAGGTGGGCTGTGATTCAGGAGCAGTTTTGCTCAGCTTGTTGAACCAGCTTCATGACGTAAGCCCCTCCATGCTACGGCTAGACCATGACGGTTATTCTTTGTCCATCCCATGAGTCCTTCCCCACATCCCTCTGCTACACCGTTGAAGGAAAGTGGATGAGAAGGTGTCGCCTTTTCCCCCTGCCCAGCACAATCCTGGGCCTCTGACCTATACCTCCACCTATCTGACAAGACCCTGGCTATAAGACAATAAAAACACTCCATGTGTACTACCCTTTGCTGGGGAGTGTCGTTTTGGTTAGGGGGGCGGGGTTCAGAGGAAAGACCCCAGACCTGACACCTCCCGGGGGCACATTTGTTCTTGTGACAGAGCCAAGTCATTGCTGTGGATAAGGATGAAGCCTCCATCAGACTGACCCAGAACAATGCTCAAAGATAGGTAGGCTGTTGAAGTATCAAACCCACTCATGTCTGCTTCCTTCTCCCAACAAGGAGGTGTAGTGTGGGTAGCCTGGCCCTGGGCCTAAGGGATTATAAATGGATGGTGGCAGTCAGGAGCTCATGGCTCCCACTTATCATCCTGGCTCTTTGGGAGGCTGAAGTCTGATGGTTGTGACTCAGAACAGCCCAGGCAGGAAAGTCTGTGAGATTCTTATCTCCCATAAACCACCTCCCTCTCCAAACCCACACTTAAGCCAGATGTGCTGTGGCTCAAGTGGTAGAGCCTCAGCCTTGAACAAAAGATGCTCAGGGATAATACCCAGGCCTTGAATCCAAGTCCTAGGACTAACACAATCATAAAATAAGTGAACAGTGTGCACCTTTTATCTGACGACCAAGAAAGATGGATACTGTCTTCTGCTGGTACTTGTAGCCAAAGGTAAGGGGCTTCCCTTGATATTCCCCTAAACCTCTCCTTCTCTCCTTTATCTGTCCAGGCTTAGGCTGCCAGACAGAATTTGGATCATCCCCCTTGATGTGACCTTAGGTACCCCCCCACCTTCCTTGGGGTCAGGATCCTGGATGCACTCCCTGCTGGGAGGATGAGGCACCTCAGAGATGAGGGTAGGTATCCCAGACACTTTACACACACACACACACACACACACACACACACGAACACACAAACACCCCTAAGCCAACTCAGACTAGCCTTTTCCAAAGACACTTTATCTCCTTGGATTAACTGACCTAGGAGAGAATTTTGATCCCCTGTAACTGATTATTTTAAATTGGGCTTGCTAGTTGACAGGAGATAAATAGGAGCAAAAAAAAAGCCATTGGTGCCCATCACCTGAGGCTCAGGCTCATGCCTGTCATCCTGGCTACTCCGGAGGCTGAGATCTGAGGATCACAGCTTGAATCCAGCCATAAGCTGGAAAGCCCGTGAGACTCTACTCTCCATGGAACCACCAAAAAGCTAGAAGTGGAGCTGTGGCTCAAGTGGTAGAGCATCAGCCTTGAACAATAAAACTCAGAGAGACAGCTCCCAGATCCTCAGTTCAAGCCCACACAAAGAAATGGCCCCATCTTGTTGCCCACAGATTGCCTGGGCCTCGAGTCCCCTCTCATGGAGTGTGATACAAAACCTGTCCCTGGGTGGTGTATCAGGGCCTTCAGAAATCCGGGGGTGGAATCCAGGCCTTTCCCTTTGTGCACTGTCAACCCACATTGGCTGGAAGACAGAGCCTTACAAGGCTGGCAGCCTGCAGAATGGAGAGGCTCCAGCTCTACCAAGGTGATCGGAATGGTCTTCTTGGAGGCAGCACTTGAAAAGGGGGTCTTGCTTAAGTAGGAGGATCTGACAAGAAGCACAGAGAGCAAAGGTGCTGAATATGATGGACAACACAGCAGAGCATGTTCATTTCCAGCCAGGGCTGCTGGTGAGAGACTCGGTATAGATGTGTGACTTGGTATAGATGTGCCAGACTGTCCCTATACAGGTCTAAGGGATCATAGAAGAACAGCTATCTAGGGCTGGAATTGTGTCTTAGAGGTAAAGGGCTCATCAAGCTCGCAGGAAAGCACAGGTTGGATTCCTAGGTCCTGCATACACAGAAAAAGCTGGAAGTGGCACTGTGGCTCAGGTGGAAGAGCCCTCCCCTGAAGACAAAGAAAGTCGGGGACAGCGCCGGGGGTCCCGATGTCAGGCCCCAGGGCTGTCACCATAAAACAGTTCTCCCAGGGACCTTTGTGACAGGTTGATGGGTATGCCCTGAAGCACTTAGTAGATGCATCTGTGCTTTGTGTCTCCTTTGACAGAGGGGAGCTGGATACTCCTTTTGCCCTGGGCACCCCTGGATCCAGTTACCAGCAACCCTCCCAATGTCTTCCACCAGGACATGGAGCAGCTGGCCCCAGAAATCCTCAGGTACAGGTTGGGTGGGGCAGGAGGATATAGGGCAGGCCCCAGAACTCCTTGTGGGTCTGATCTGGCCTGGAAGACCAGGCAATCAGGAGGAGGCAGATGGGAGCTTAGAGAGGGCTAGTGATGTGAGGGGGCCCTTTAATCCCTATGGCCCCACCCAAATTCTGAGCCTCCCTTTGCTGTCCCTGAGGGAAGTAGAGGGGTGTCTAGGTGGTAGCTTCTAGAGGAGGAGTAGGTGGAAATTCTGAAGGACTAGACACCTTAAGCCAGTCGTTCACCCCTCTCATCCCACACTTGTCATCCTGGCTACTCGGGAGGCTGAGATCCAGAGGATCTCATTTCCCAACCCAGGCAGGAAAGTGTCATGAGAGGCTCATCTCCAATCCAACTGGAAGTGGCACTGTAGCTCAAGTGGTAGAGCACTGGCCTTGAAGAAAAATCAACCTCAGGGACAGTACCCAAGCCCTGAGTTCAAGCCCTTCAACCAAAAAAGAAGAAAAATAAAAGAAAAAAGGAAAAAAAAACAGGAAAGAAAGAAAGGCATCCCTTCCTTGCTTGCAAGAGATGTTGAAGCAATGGGGTTGCTATGGTTGGGAGACCAGATGCTGGCCTCCCCAGGTTTGTCCCAGTATGAAGCCATAACAGGGTGGGTGGTGCCTTACCAAGAACTCCAGAGGTTGTGGCCTGTGGTAGGCAGGGAGTGGGTGAATGGGAGCAGGGGTGGGATGGCAGTGTCAATTATATGCTCTCCATTCATGGAAGAATGGTGACAAAGTCTGAAGTGTAGGGTTACATGTGGTTTGTGTCTTGATGAGTTGGGTTTTCCCTTGGTATTAGAAGGTGGCTGAAGCCAGTCGTTGCCGGTGGCTCACAACTGTCATCCTAGCTACTCAGGAGGCTGAGATCTGAGGATCGTGGTTCAAAGCCAGCTTGGGCAGGAAAATGTGTGTGACTTTATCTCCAGTGAACCACTGGAAAGCCAGAAGTGGTACTGTGGCTTCCGTGGTAGAGCGCCTACCTTCAGCTCAAGAGCTAAGGGATTGCGTGCAGGCCCAGAGTTCAAACCCCATGACTGACAATCAAAAATAAAATAGCTGAGTTTTCTGCATAGTGCCAAGATGTGTTATGAGCCATTCCAGATGTGAGAGATGTCCTGAGTTTTGTCTCCACTTGGTCTGAGGATGTTAGTTGGTCTGAGGATGTTAGTGCCATCTTCTTGGGTGTGGGATGTTCAGGGTGCTCAGGGACTGCTGAGGCTGTGTGTGTGTGTGTGTGTGTGTGTGTGTGTGTGTGTTTCCTTCATCTCTCTCTGTCTCCTTCCTGGGGCCTGTCTGCCTCTTTCTGATGTTGGATGGTTCCCCTCCTCCACACTTGCCCTTTAGCCCCCTATCAGGGTCTACAATGAATCCTAAATTGCCAGAGGCCTGCATTCCAGTTTTTCTTTGGGGCCTAAGTCTGGCCTGTCCAAATCTTTGGGCACCTCCAGGGGATTCTGGATTCTGGGTCAGCATGGCCAGCTAGCATAGGGTCTCCCCTGCCACTGGGAGGCCTCAGTTATAAGATGTCCTGCATTTTCCTCTGCTGGGTCTCTGGCTGCATGTCCCTCCCTGCACGCTGGCAGTGGAGTGGGGGATGGAAGTTTTCCGGTAGCTCTGGCCAACTCGAGCTTGATAGGTGACTGAAGGCCGCTCAAGCAAGGAGGATCCTGGGCTACATGTGAGGTGAGGCCAAGGTGGCTTGGAAATATCCGTCAGTGTCTAGGAAATGTCAACATACCTTGTCACAGGAAAGTCTATTCCCCCCCTTCCCCACAAGCTTGGCTGCTCAGGTCCTTCTAGACAATTCTGGATGCCCAGAATACAGATGGACACACTTTAGATTCTAGGTCCAGGGAACTGGGGCATGAGAGACTAGTATGGCCAATACCTCAATGTTCTGGGGCATTAGCCTTGACCTGGCTATGCCCCCCCTTGTTGTACGTTCACTTCTTAATCCAGTGCTGACACCACACCGGCCACTTGTGGCAGTGCTTTGAAAGTGGCAGGAGTGGAAGTGAGATCCAGGGTGACCAAAATCTGGATTTATGGCCTGATTGGGGGTGAAGTGGTGGCAAAGGTTGTCTTAAAAAAGTCTTAGAGCTGGAACTCAGGGCCTAGGCACTGTCCCTGAGCTTCCATTGCTCAAAGCTAACACTCCACCACTTGAACCACAGCTCACCTTTCATCTTTTTTAGTAGTTTAGTAGAGAGAAGAGTCTCACGGACTTTCCTGCCTGGGCTGGCTTTAAGCTGCCATCCTAAGAGCTCAGCTTCTTACGTAGCTAGGATTGCTGGTATAAGACATTGGGACCTACTAAGGATGTTTTTGTGTGTGCTTTGTGTGTGTGTGTGTGTGTGTGTGTGTTTGTGAATTTACCAGGGCTTGAACTCAGAGCCTAGGTGGTATCCTTTAGCTTGTTAACATAAGATTGGTGCTCTACACTTCAGCTCCCAGAAGCCCCTGACTATGTGGAGAACATAAAGCTCAAACCTGATCATATTTCTTTGACCTCAGGGAAGGGTATGATTCCTCTGCAGTCTGGAGGAGTAGGGGTGAAGTAGGAGGGGTAACTGTAGATGGGTGTTAGGCTGGTAGAGAGATAATCTGTCTTTAGCCAAGAAGGATAGTGATAGCTCAAGCTCTCATTTTCCTAGCTACTCAGGAGGCTGAGATCTGGGCCAGGAGGGGCAGAAGCTGCAAGATGGCACGGCAGGTAATGCCCGCTCATGCAGGGATCACAAGAGTGCAAATCTGTCAGGCACACCTTGGGGGAGGGGTGTTGAGTTAGGCTCATGAAAGACTTGTGTGCTCACAAATCCACCAACCGCCAGCTGGCTCCTACTTCTAGCAGCAGCCTGGAGTCCCAGGGCTCAGAGCCCTTCTTCCCTCACCAGTGCTTGGGGGCAAACGAAGGTCTGCAATCATGGGCCAACTACAAAGGAGCATCCTTAGTGTTCTTCCCCTTGGTCCTGTGGCCCCATGCATGGATGGAGGGGGGGTTCCCTAGAACTTACTGCCTTGGCCCAGACCCCTCAACCCAAGAAGGACTTAGGGAGAAACCACATGATCTGGCTTGAGAGTTTACTATGACTATACCTAAGGACTGCCCCCAGTTCTGGCTCAGCTCATCATTACCACCTTCCTGTGTGTGTGGGTGCATTTTGGTACTAGGGCTTGAACTCAGGTCCTGGGCTCTGTCCCTTAGTTTTTTTCATTCAAGGCTAGCACTGAAACACTTGAGTCTCAGAACAATATGTCTCACCAGGCTCACTTTTTTTTTTTTTTTGCCGGTCATCGGGCTTGAACTCAGGGTCTGGGCATGCTCCTGAGCTTCTTTTGCTCAAGGCTAGCCACAGTGCCACTTTTGGCTTTCTCTGTTTCTGTAGTACTGAGAAATAGAACCCAGAGCTTTGTGTGTGCTAGGTAAGCACTCTACCACTAAGCCACATTTGCAGCCCAAGGCTGAATTGTAACAGGAGTTATGAGGGTGGGATTTATTGGCTTACCCCATTTGGCATAGAAATCACTGACTATTTCATATCTTTGCCGAGATTTAGGACCAGTCTGTGACTCGGCAATGAGGAATGATGAATGAATGAGAGCCACCAGGCCCCAGAGGTCTAGGCTCACATACTGCAGAGGGATAGAGAATATGGATCCAGAACCTTCGACCACTCCTATAGCCTAGGAACTCTGAGGGCTTTTCCCAGCTTGCCCAAGTTGGGTGGGCTGAGCATGGACAACCTGCTGAATGCCCATCATTCATATATCATCCATCCATACACAGAGACATGGAGTTACTGCTGTCTTTTTTTGGAGGGGGGGCAGGTCTGGGGTTGAACTATGAACCTAGGCCCTGTCCCTGAGTTCCTTTTGCTCAAGGGCAATACTCTGCAACTCGAGTCACGATCCCACTCATGTTTTTTTGTTGTTGTTGTTGTTTTTCCCTGTGATCTCTTAGAAATGAGTGTCGCCTACTTTCCTGCCCTGGCTGAATTCAAGTTGGCATTCTCTACATCTCAGCCTCCTGAGGAGCTAGGATTACAGGCAGTAGCCACTGACACCTAGCTTTCTTTTCTTGTTCTTTTTTAAACCATGACAATCTGAAATCTTCACAGTGTCATTCCAATGGTTTGCATTCGAAGTAAACTACCCTGGAGTTTGATTGCTAGGATTGCCACCCACAAATGGAGGGTGACCCTGACAAACTCATTCCTATTCGTGTGAATGCTAATGAAATATTATAAAAGTAATAATTAAATTTGCAGTTAATTCATGATTCTATTTTAGAATGCCACACAAATATTATTGGATTTATATCTTCCATTCTAGCACCATGTTATGATTCCCCTAATTGAAGGATTTTGACTAATTTTTAATTAATGCTTGTATAAGTATTCAACCATGATACTTCATTAAATGGTGGCATAATGTAATAACTAATAATTGGTAAGAACATATATATATAATTTAATAATATCCTCACATTCCCTCCCTCAGTATATATCTATATATATATACTTATATATATACACACACATATATACATATACATATCTATTAATGTATATATTGGGCACTACTGTGGCTTGATCAAAGGTCTTCAGAACTTCCTGGCAGCTCTGTTTTCTGGAGGCTGGTGTGCTAAGACTGTGACCCCATTTATGGATTGGGCATTGTAGGCCATGAGTTGAAATCCCAGCAAGGCCAAAAGTTTATTCGTGGAGTAAGAAGCCAACTTTGACACATATTTTTTCCTTCTGTGTGAAAGTCCTGGGTCTCAGTATAATGTATAATCCAAATGCAAATATAACTAGGTGATATGATGTAATAAATGAAGTGTTATATGTGTAACAATGCTAACTAAATAAGGGTAGTAAACGCCATACGCAGTAAACCCATGTATGTAAATAGATCTCATATATGAATATTATTTTTTCCAGTGCTGAGGCTTGAATTCAAGCC